TTCAAGGTACAAGCACAGCACTTTGATTTATAGTCAATTTGTCCTAAATTATGCATGTGGCAGACAGCAGAGGGCTGAGCATCTTCGAGGAGAGACACTGGTGCATTTGGGTACCTCAGATCTTGGCAGATTTCTGAGCATTTATCATATTTTATCACGGCCTAACTGCGGCCCATAAATAATTCGTTCGGTTCTTTTTGCCAACTGATTTAATAGACTGAACGCTGAAGAACACTTCCCGTTCTCACCTGCAATAAATTCTGGGTAAAGTCACAGCCACACGCTCCACTCCAAAACCCGCTAATAATTTGTCAGATGTGGTAGGCGCCAACGCGGCCCCATGGAATTTATTGAGGTGCTTAAGCCTTCGAACATTTTGTCTCATTTTGTCTGGCAGCACATTTTGTTTGGTCCCATGTCGCCCAATCGTTTCCCCGTGTGGCAGCCATTTCTGATCAATTAAACTGCAATTGCAACATGAGGCGGCGGTGGTAGCGATTCGGTGGACAGGGATCAGCTTATGTGACCATTAATTGGTTGCGGGTACTCTCGCTGAGTATCTGCACCTACGTAATACAGCTCTCTGCCCCTGCAACACTCGCTGTAGCAATTTATTCATTTGCAGGGCCGCAGTTTCATCTGACCGCTAATTATCCTCTGGCCAAAGAGCAGTAGCAATGGAAGTGGAACGCTTCTGCGGCAGAAGAAAGTAATTAGCCTGTTTATCGAGTTCGCGTGGCAGCCATCGAAGTTACTCGATATTAATTTTCAGTCTTATTCCAGGGCCCCCCGCCCCACCACTGCGGCCCCATCCATCTACTATCTTTCCCTCTGATTGCCAATTATTGAATTGTTTTCTTAGCTGAGAATTCTAGCCTCATTTACCGCACATGCTGACCATTGAGTGGTCAGGAGAAGGCCCTCAAGTGTGCCATGAAATAATTAAAACTTTAGGGCCCACTGAAAAGGCAAAAGAAGGAGCGTAAAAGATATAAAAATTAGTCCAAGTTCACTGACGGTGGCCCGAGCACTTGGTTCCGTTTGTTCCATCTCCCCACACAGTTGAGAGATAAACATGAAACAAAAGAAATGGGGAGAGGTCTTTGGATATTGAAGATGTTCTTGAACCAGTACTGTGGGGAGAATATCAGTCAATACATTTCTCTGCAAATTGTTAAGAAAATACATCTAAAAATATACCTTAATTCAGAGCTAAACATTTTCTATTATTTATGGGAATGCGAATATTTTCAATTGTTGTTTTTTGGCAGCAAATGCTTAAATATCTTAAATGACCCTCATCACTTTTTCAGGTATTTGTAGTAAAATCAATAAATTTCCCCCCTGGCTGGCCACTGGCCGCATCTCCAGGGAGAGAGAGAGAGCGAGAGAGAGAGAGAGATGTTAGCGAACCCCAAAAACCGTCACCACAAACACTTACACACTCGGTTCGGTTTGGTTCGCTTCGGATCGGATCGGATCGGATAGGTTTGTGGGTGGCGCTTTTGGGGTTTGGTTTCGGGTTTGCGCATCACGTGGAATGGGAAGGTGTGCTCCAGGACATTCTTTTGGTTATGGCCCTCTTCCAGTTTTTTTCTTTGGTTCGGCCATTTTACCAATGTGCTGAAAATCAAGCGGTCGAGTCGTAAACATTTTTTTAATTCATTCCCATGCGGGGCACTAGAAGTGCGAGGGTCCTCCCCTCCAACCACCCACACCCACTGAGAGGATGGGGGAAGCCATTAAACAGCTGCAGGACGAGCAGCAGCAGCAGCAGCCGCCGCAGCAGATGGACTCTCGCCAAGAGCCCTGGCTGGCACAGCGTGTTGAGTGTTTGCGTTTTTCAAATTGTGTGAATTTATTTTGTTCGTGCGGTTCCTTGTGCTTTTGTTTTTATGGCGCCTGGAATTATGCTTATTTCGCCATTTCTGCTTAGCTCTTAAAGAAATTAAAAAGAACAGGAACCTCGCAGCGAGGTAGCAGGGACCTTGAAGGTCTCTCTCCGTGTGTCTGAGAGTGTAATTTGCTGTGTGGGTATGTGTGTCTTACGCTTTGGCGCCTCCGCCGTAGACGACTTTTGTTTTCGTTGATGACGCCTGGGGCCCTGAGCAAAAACAAAACCCAAGGCGCTATGTTCCCTAAACTTTTCGCTTGTCTTCGCTAAACGCTGCCCATGTAGCGGCAGACTAGCACCTTAAATCACCTTTTAAAGTAGAGCACCAGAGCATACGAGACACTCTCTTCGGTTGCTTATACAGGAAGCTCTGATTTGTCCGACCACACTCTGATTACTTTGACAGCAACTGACGTGGCCATATATATAATTTTGTGTCTCTTTTCATGGTTTGACAGTAAACACTGTCCAAGCCTGACATTTCCGAAGCCATTTTCCAATTGACCACATCAGGAAGAAGACAAACGCCTGGGGAGGCTACACGTGGACGAAGGAATATCAAAAACTCATTAACATCACTTCTGACATAAACGGACCTAAAGGGCAACAACTACTCCGAGTATATGTAGATGAATGGGGGGACATTTCCTTCGTGAAAGTTAATTAATGTTCACCAATTATGAGTTTTTCTCGTCCAATAATTAAAAACTTCAAGAGCCAAAAAATATATACATAATTTGTTTTCAAGAAAAACTCAAAAAGAATTCTGTACACTATTATTCACGTCAATGTATGGACTACATACATATATCAATAAATGATTTTCTTTTTCTTTCTGTCTCATTTGTCTAGGCAATTTGTGTCTACTATAGCGCGCACAATACAAATCGACATTAAAAGGCTGCCATTCAAATAAATATGGCCTTGTGCTAAACGAATCGTTAACAACAAAAAGGGAAAAACGAAAGCGAAAACGAAAACGAAAAGCGAGGGGCCAACACTTTTTCAAAATAATTTCACACAATTAAAGTGAAAAGCCATACGCAGACGTCTATTGTCGCGAACAATGGCCAAGTGGAGACGGGGGGAGCGACAAGGGTCGACCAAAGGAGAGTTGGACGATTTATTTGTTGAGTGCAATATTATATTTAAGCCCATACACGCACATAGAAAAAATACAAAAAATACAACATTTGCCGCACAAATTGCTTTAACAAAAACACAAACGAATCAAGTGTCATTTTTTCCATGTTGCTGATTTTGCTGACTTTTGTTTTTTTACCGCGAATTGGTGGAAATTCCAGAGCAGTTTTAAGGGGAATTCCAATTTAAGTACAGTTGCAGGCTTCCTGGAAGACTCCATTTTTAATAACTGTGTCCCCTGAGCAACAACAAGCCGAAAAGTTCTACTAACAATACGAAATACCATACAAATGTTTGCTAAGTAAGTTCCACTGATATGACTAACTTCATTTGTATTTCCGCCGCTCCAAGTACTTCCGCCGAAGCTGACGCCCAACGGTTGCCAGGCTCTGGAACGGGAGCCGCTAACAGTCCAAAATGGGAGCACTCCTCCAGTGGCGAGTAGCCGCATGGGGCATACTCGTATTTACATTTGAACAGACTGTGCTCGTATATAGTTTATGGGCAGGCGACTAAGCCGGTTGGCATATTTATGGGAGGGACCTGGTCTGGGGCCTTGTTTTATAGTATTTTATTTGGCCTTTGCATAATTCATAAATTACGTGGTAATCTGCGTGTAATTGCCCCGTGCCCCAGTGCCGCCCGATGGCAGTGCGTAATTACCTTCTTTGTTTAAACAATCAGCTGGAACTGGCGACGGAATACATACATATTACTTCATCGATTTGCCAGATAGATCGCCTAAAGCGCGCACAAACAGTGGCAATTGTGAGTCTCGTTTGGATTTCAAGAACTCGCAACCCCGAACTTTTCCCCCCTATATATTCGGCACAAACAAATTACGATGCTGACCTCCTCCGTTTGGGTAAAAGTTTCGCCTCCGAGTCAATTGAATCCCACAAAGGGGCACAGACAATTCCCTAGCATATTTATAGGCATTATTCCTGCTCAAGGATTTCCAGTCAACGATTTTGGCTCGTTAGTGGACTGACTTCTCAGCGCTGCTTCTGTTCGCTGTTGTTGTTCGCTCACTGGCCGCAGATTTATGTATGCCTCTGCCAAAAGTTTTTTAACAACATCCAGAATTTACGATTTTCGGAACACAGACACACGGACAGGCAGACCCGACCATCCTTAGGCCAGAGAGAGGCAAGGCAAATAGTTAACTGGTCCCGTCTCGTCCGTCCTTTGTACAAGTATCTGCATCCTTGGGCTGTTGTTTGGCCTGCCTTGGAATTGTTTTGATTTAGTAATGGCGGGCGGACATTTAATTAGTGTCGCCAGAATGTCTGGCTCACAAAAAGAGTCCGATAAATAGGCCTACAGACATCAACTATTGTTCGAACTTCATAATGAGACATGCTTCCAATGCCGCCATCCGAAATCCCCCTTCAGCTACACGTGCCAAAGCACTTATTTGTCATTCTGGAATAATCATAAATTTCAATATAAAATGCGCGTTTCGAACCGATTTGAAATGTTAATCAGAAGCGAGCACAAAAGCTTAAATTTGGTTACATTTGCCCTCGGCCCCCACTCCACTCCAATCCACTCGCGGATCTGCTTCTGACAATCATGTTAATGATGCTGTCAACGTCAATTAGAGATGAAATTTTCAGAGCGCCCCATGGCGACACCGAATGTCGAACACGGCGTTAAATACTCATCCAGATTTGGACAGATCTCCAATCAATATTGTTGCTTTTTGGACTAAGAAACGAAACGACATGCGCGTTTAAAGAGCATTTTATGCAGTTCCTTTATTGAGTTTTGCAAATCTAACCGCTCTCGGCCAGTACTCTGATCTGAAAATATAACAAAAATAAACCGAAAAAATAGTTTCGTGTGGGTTGTTGTGTGCCAATTTTTTATTCGTCTAATAATTTAGAAATAAATATATGGTGGTTCACTACATGTTTTTTTTTTTTTCGTCTGTCTTTGCGTAGGGAAAGTCGCTGCGCGCTCAGAAGCAGAGGACGCCGAAGGGAATGATCTTCTTGCAGAGCTTGGGGGGTGCCTCGGTGCTGTCGTCTTGGCTTGGTGGTGGGCGTGGCCTTGGTGGTGGTGGTGGTGGTGGGGGTGGGTATGGGTAGGGGGGATAGTAGTGTGGTGGTGGGTAGGGTGGATAGTAAGGGGGGCCAGGTTTAGGTTTCTTCGTTGTTGTCGTTGTTGTTGTAGGAGGGGTATCAGGATCCTCAGGGCATTCAGGACCGCCGGGGCCGCCGGGGCCGCCGGGGACGCAGGGGCCGCCGGGGCCTCCAGGACCGCCGGGGCCTCCAGGACCGCCATGTCCCCAGCCAGGGCCGCCATGTCCCCAGCCAGGATATGGGTAGCCATTGAACGGAGGAGGTGCATAGTACGGTGGATAGTACGGCGGGTAGTGGTGGTGAGGAGGCCTCCTTGTCGTGGTCCTGGGCTTCTTCGTAGAGCTTCCGTCGCCTGGGAAGGTGACCACCAGATTGCCGCTGCTGTCGCCGAGACCAAACAGCTTCCTCCACATTGACGAGTCGTGCTCAGCGTCATTCGCCTCGACGCTGTTCTGCTCCGCGCTGCTCTCCAGCTCGTCCTTCTCGACGACAGGCTCGTCCTGGACATGGGCCAGCGCCAGGACTCCGCAGAGCGCCAGGCAGAGGCAAAGTGCCAACTTGGTGCGCATTGTGTGAAAGGTTCGCAGCGAACTGATTGATAGATCCAATCACATGCGCTACTTATACCTGATCATCCCGTCCGCTAAAGAAATGTCCCCCACCAGCGCGGTGTTGTTTCTAGAAACTATAACGATCGCTGTGATCCACTGGACACATTAACCCACTTCGAGAGCATTTTCAAACGGCAGTATACCGAGGCTGTCCCGTCACCGAGCCCCCAAGTTTGCATGCAAATTAATTCAGCCATTAAAATCAGCTCAGAACACGCCCCACAATATACTCGAGCCTGTGGCTTAGGCCAGAGTTGGCGATTAGTCTACGGCTAACGGTTAAGTTTTTGGCTGATTTTTGCATTTTTTATTGCTTGAAACCTGAAAGCCCATCTGGTTTCGACTTCTCAAAGAAAATCACGAAGAAGCGAACACTTTGTTTATTACATTTTATGGAAATTAAGAAGTGAATTTCTCGTGCCAGAAATATAGCAGTTCTTGTTAACGATGTTAGTCCAGAAGAAGGCAAAGTCCAGACACGTTTTGGGGGGCAAAATGTACTTTAGTTGTGGTCTTTTTTGATTTTCGCAATTATAAGTACAATTATATTTTATTTATAAACAATTTATAACACAATAAATGGTTAAGATTCCCCTTTTTAACACTGACAAAACCCCCAGAGTGCGTCCCCCATTTATAAAGACCTGTAGTGGATGGATGGTATGTTTGACGGGAAAACTGATCCATTAATTACAACTCAGATAAGTCGCAGAGTTCTGACTATATAAAAGGTCAAACTAGCCGTTGGTCTACGATCAGTTGGGACTTGAACTCTGGAATTGTGGGATCTGTTTTCATCATGTTGGCCGCTTCACTTTGTCTCATTCTGCTGCTCCAAGTCAATTCGATTCCTGGACAAGTTTATCAAGTCACCAGGATACCTGGGAATGGAAACGTGCAGATAATAAGCCCATACGGGAGCCAAATACAGGTCTTGGGCTCTACAGAGCAAACCCGTCCGTATCCCTGGCTGTGGGAGATAATGAAGAACCTTACGATCACCTCAAACTCAACCACCGAGGACGTGCAAGTGATCAGTCCTTGGGGCAACGGCAGCTTTCAGCTGAACACAAGCCCCACTCAGAGCAACGTGAACACACCGCTGCGCACCCTGCTCAAGAATTGGTTCTACCGGACACCAGCCCAGCCCAGCTACCAAGTGGTCAACCTCGGTGGACGGGCCCTAGACAATCAACGCTACTGGGACGAATGGAGACCAACTCAAGTGCTGCTACCACGCAGGCGGACATCTACAAGCAGGCGGCTTCAGCAGCGTCGCATTCTGATGCGAAACCTTAATTCCGGGCAGGCCGTATTGGTGAACACCCAAACCCTAAGAGTGCCCTTCTATGCAGAGGATTGGAAGGTAAGCAACTACAAAATTTGAACTATCATCCTAGAAATATGTTTAAAGAAATCTGCATTTCAGATTGGAACCAGTTACTCTCGCTGAAAGTTTGCGCTAATATTTTTGTGACTATGAAATAAATGATTTACGTGCGAAACCATTCGAGTTAGAGTTGCCATTAATAATTCTGGGAAGGTTCTAAGACAAATAGATGAGCTATTTTGATAGACAGATATTGTCGTTCTCGTGTCTCAAAATCGCTAAAATATCTAATTGGAGAAACAAATGCAGGACAGCCCCTGTGAAAGGCACTTAATCACTTTATATTCTATTTTTATTATAATATGATGTCGGAGCAGGCAAGTGATCGCGATCTGCCGATCTGCCTCTGCCGATCTCTCTTTTCTCTCGCTCTCTCGTATACTTGTTGAGCAAATGAAATGAGTAAACAAAAGCGTGAAAGAAAAGAAACTGAAGAAAGAGAAACAATCGATTTCACCACTGAGAAACCTATTAATTAACCGAAATTAGCATTTGCATATCGCAGATTGGAACCATCTGCTAAATATGCAAACCCAATGGCCAGGCAGCCTTAGTTGGTCGCTGAACGCGTTTCGATATGAATCTAGTCGAGTATCTACTGTGTCTGCTGACCTGCAGCTGGCTGTGGCCAGATCAGGCGAGGGCTCGCCGCTTGGAGGCGTCGGAACACTCCCGCACAGTTGGCCCCTGGCTCTATTTGCTGGCCTACCCGGCGGCCCTGCAGCAGGTAGGTGGTGGTGCGCTGCCTGGAATCCCCATTAGGAGGCCCCAAGACGAGACGCCCCTCAGCAGCGCCAACATCCAAGCCCCGACACTGTCCGACGAAGTGCCGAGCGGGCAGAACAATGTGATACGCGAGCAATTTCTGCAGGGCATTCTGCAGGGCCTTCAACAGTCTGGCGGCGGGGCAAGCGGAGCCACCGTTTCCCCCGCTCTGCTAGCAGACTTTCTCTCCCAGGTCCCAAGCCTGACCAACACGAGCACCACACGGCAGCCAGCGGCTGAGAAAGATGCCAACAAGGCGGGGAGCGATGAGAACTATGACTACATAGACTTCCAAAATGGTTCACGCATCAAATACGACTTGGACGTAGAGCAAAAGCCAGTTAATAAGATTCTCCAGCAGACCACCAGGCGTCAGGCGGTGGCTCGACCTCGGCCACAGGCACAGCCCCAAACCTATCTCTACTATGCCCCCTACACCTCGTATTACTACCGAGGGGGCTGAGAACCAACCAGTAGACATAATTTATTCATAAATTATAGATGATTGGCGAATTGGAGTTGTTTTGTAATGGAAGGGCGCATCACGGGTCATCAGTCTACTAAAATATTCGGTGATTGTGTTATTTCTCTTTTGGAAATTCGCCCATCAAGACAACAAATATTCAAATCAGTTAAATGGATCAGTCCGCACTTCAGTCCCCTTCTGTCCAATCTCATTTTCGATCTTTTGTTGGTCGTCTGCTCAACTCAAATTTACGACACCCCGAAAAGTGTATAAAACTCTTCGTGTCTGGTCGCTTTGTCATTAGTTCTGAACAAACCGGAGCGCCGTATAATCTCTCTCGAATCGAAATGATCATCAAGACCGTGGGTCTACTCTTCCTGTTGGCTGGCCAAGTCTATGGCCAGTCGTTCAGTTTTGGAATCCCCATTTACAACCTGAATAGCATATACTCCGCTCTAACCGGCACGAGAGGCAGCTCCAGCTCAGGATCGTCTGGTGGCGGTGGCGGCAGCAGCAACAACGACGATGCTCAGGCTGACTACGATGCCTACCTGAGTGAATACTACAGCAACTACTGGCAGAACTTCTACCAGAGTCAGGCGCTCTATGGTCCCTATAGACCATATGGTCCCTATAGGCCTAGGCCATTTCCTACTGGACCACCACCAACGCGAGCACCAACCTCAGCCCCAATCACAACCTCCACAGCTGTCATACCCACTGTGGGTCCCATCACAACTTCCACCGCGGTCGCACCCACTGTGGGTCCCATCACAACTTCCACCGCGGTCGCACCCACTGCCGGCCCTGTAACAACTTCCACTGCAGTCGCACCTGTGAACCCGGACACCACTTCGACAGCCGTCCCACCTGTAAAAACGGACACGACTGTGGATGCAGTGCGACCTAAACGGTTCCGCACCACTCCCCTGCCTTTCCACTACGTTCCCGGCACCTTCCTCAGTCCCTACGATCTGCACCGCATTAACTCCAACCCGATCGACGAGCAAGGTGTGGGCTCAGCCTCAGCAGCATCGGCAGCAGGCACATCGGCAGTCTATATCCCATACGATGCCGTCCTCCATCGCCGAACGCGTCCAAGTCCTTACTTTGAAGTGGATGGTAAGAAATAGAGCGGTAACCTTAATGCTGACTAAGCCTATTGAATAAAAGCAAAAGAAGTATTTGACTGAAAGTGTTGTTACCTGACTTTCTGACTTTCTAAGGCTCGATACAGATCATGACCCTTGCACGTGGGCTTGCTTTCCTTTGCAGACTTTGAATAGTCTACCAGCAGCCATTAACATTCGAATTTTATGATTAGTGGATAAGAATTCGAGCGTTCGAGCGTCTTTTGTTCGCATTGAGCTGGAATGTATAAAGGTCTAGGTTTCACGCAGTTTCCTATTCAGTTCTAGGCTAGCTGGAGCGCTGAATAAACTGTGTCTTGCAATGATACTGAATACCGTCGGCTTTCTGATCTTACTCGCTGGCCAGGCGTATGGCCAGTCGGTGAGCATACGGATTCCTGTGTGGAATGTAGCAGATCTGTACGCTCGACTTACGGGTACAGGATCTAACTCTGCAGCAGGGTCAACCAATGCAAATGACCAGGCGGAAGCATATGACCAATATCTGAGAGACTATTATAGCAACTACTGGGAGAGATTTTACCAGAGTCAAGCGGAGTATGGTCCATACGGAGACTTTGGGAATTGGGTTCCGGCTTCCCCAACTACCACCGAGGCTCCTGCTTCGATTCCAACCACCGCAGCACCAACATCAACCACAATTCAGTATATGGATTTCTGCACAGTTTTCCCTCAGCTTCCCCAGTGCCAAGAATCCAGTACAGCATCCACTCCAACCACCTCAACTGCAACTCCCATCACAACACAAGAACCAACCACAACTGAGTCGCTTTGCGCTGTTTTTCCTCACCTCCCAGCGTGTCAAATATCGACCACAACTGAAGTTTTAACAACCTCCACAGCGATTCCGCCAACAGATTCTACCACATCTGGAAGTGCAACAACATCCACAGCAATTCCACCAACAGATTCTACCACAGCTGGAAGTGCAACAACATCTACAGCAATTCCACCGACGGATTCTACCACAGCTGGAAGTGCAACAACATCCACAGCAATTCCACCGACGGATTCTACCACAGCTGGAAGTGCAACAACATCCACAGCAATTCCACCAACAGATTCTACCACAGCTGGAAGTGCAACAACATCCACAGCAATTCCGCCAACAGATTCTACCACATCTGGAAGTGCAACAACATCAACAGCGATTCCACCAACAGATTCTACCACATCTGGAAGTGCAACAACATCTACAGCAATTCCACCGACGGATTCTACCACAGCTGGAAGTGCAACAACATCTACAGCGATTCCACCGACGGATTCTACCACAGCAGGAAGTGCGACAACATCCACAGCAATTCCACCGACGGATTCTACCACAGCTGGAAGTGCAGCAACATCCACAGCAATTCCACCGACGGATTCTACCACAGCTGGAAGTGCAACAACATCCACAGCAATTCCACCGACGGATTCTACCACAGCTGGAAGTGCAACGACATCCAGTACAACATCCACTCCAACCACCACAACAGCACCTCCCACCACAACACAAGAACCAACCACAACTGAGTCGCTTTGCGCTGTTTTTCCTCACCTCCCAGCGTGTCAAATATCGACCACAACTGAAGTTTTAACAACCTCCACAGCGATTCCGCCAACAGATTCTACCACATCTGGAAGTGCAACAACATCCACAGCAATTCCACCGACGGATTCTACCACAGCTGGAAGTGCAACAACATCCACAGCAATTCCACCAACAGCTTCTACCACATCTGGAAGTGCAACAACATCAACAGCGATTCCACCAACAGATTCTACCACATCTGGAAGTGCAACAACATCTACAGCAATTCCACCGACGGATTCTACCACAGCTGGAAGTGCAACAACATCTACAGCGATTCCACCGACGGATTCTACCACAGCAGGAAGTGCGACAACATCCACAGCAATTCCACCGACGGATTCTACCACAGCTGGAAGTGCAGCAACATCCACAGCAATTCCACCGACGGATTCTACCACATCTGGAAGTGCGACGACATCCAGTACAGCATCCACTCCAACCACCTCAACTGCAACTCCCACCACAACACAAGAACCAACCACAACTGAGTCGCTTTGCGCTGTTTTTCCTCACCTCCCAGCGTGTCAAATATCGACCACAACTGAAGTTTTAACAACCTCCACAGCAATTCCACCGACGGATTCTACCACAGCTGGAAGTGCAACAACATCCACAGCAATTCCACCGACGGATTCTACCACAGCTGGAAGTGCAACAACATCCACAGCAATTCCACCAACAGATTCTACCACAGCTGGAAGTGCAACAACATCTACAGCGATTCCACCGACGGATTCTACCACAGCTGGAAGCGCAACAACATCCACAGCAATTCCGCCAACAGATTCTACCACATCTGGAAGTGCAACAACATCAACAGCGATTCCACCAACAGATTCTACCACATCTGGAAGTGCAACAACATCTACAGCAATTCCACCGACGGATTCTACCACAGCTGGAAGTGCAACAACATCTACAGCGATTCCACCGACGGATTCTACCACAGCTGGAAGTGCAACAACATCCACAGCAATTCCACCGACGGATTCTACCACAGCTGGACGTGCCACAACATCCACACCAACTCCACCTACAGCTACTACCACAGCTGGTCGTCCAACCACATCAAGACCAACACCACCGACGGCTTCTACCACAGAAGCTCGTCCGACAACATCAGAAGCAACAACACCANTCCACAGCAATTCCACCGAAGGATTCTACCACAGCTGGAAGTGCAACAACTTCCACCGCAACTCCACCGACGGATTCTACCACAGCTGGAAGTGCAACAACATCCACAGCAATTCCACCGACGGATTCTACCACAGCTGGAAGCGCAACAACATCCACAGCAATTCCGCCAACAGATTCTACCACATCTGGAAGTGCAACAACATCAACAGCGATTCCACCAACAGATTCTACCACATCTGGAAGTGCAACAACATCTACAGCAATTCCACCGACGGATTCTACCACAGCTGGAAGTGCAACAACATCTACAGCGATTCCACCGACGGATTCTACCACAGCAGGAAGTGCGACAACATCCACAGCAATTCCACCGACGGATTCTACCACAGCTGGAAGTGCAGCAACATCCACAGCAATTCCACCGACGGATTCTACCACAGCTGGAAGTGCGACGACATCCAGTACAGCATCCACTCCAACCACCTCAACTGCAACTCCCACCACAACACAAGAACCAACCACAACTGAGTCGCTTTGCGCTGTTTTTCCTCACCTCCCAGCGTGTCAAATATCGACCACAACTGAAGTTTTAACAACCTCCACAGCGATTCCACCAACAGATTCTACCACAGCTGGAAGTGCCACAGCATCTACAGCGATTCCACCGACGGATTCTACCACAGCTGGAAGTGCGACAACATCTACAGAAATTCCCCCGACGGATTCTACCACACCTGGAAGTGCGACAACATCCACAGCAATTCCACCGACGGATTCTACAACATCCACAGCGATTCTACCAACAGATTCTACCACAGCTGGAAGTGCGACAACATCTACAGCAATTCCACCGACGGATTCTACAACATCCACAGCGATTCTACCAACAGATTCTACCACATCTGGAAGTGCAACAACATCCACATCAATTCCACCAACAGATTCTACCACATCTGGAAGTGCAACAACATCTACAGCGATTCCACCGACGGATTCTACCACAGCTGGAAGTGCGACAACATCTACAGCAATTCCACCGACGGATTCTACAACATCCACAGCGATTCTACCAACAGATTCTACCACAGCTGGAAGTGCGACAACATCTACAGCAATTCCACCGACGGATTCTACAACATCCACAGCGATTCTACCAACAGATTCTACCACAGCTGGAAGTGCGACAACATCTACAGCAATTCCACCGACGGATTCTACAACATCCACAGCGATTCTACCAACAGATTCTACCACAGCTGGAAGTCCAACAACATCCACAGCGATTCCACCGACGGATTCTACCACAGCTGGAAGTGCGACAACATCTACAGAAATTCCCCCGACGGATTCTACCACAGCTGGAAGTGCGACAACATCCACAGCAATTCCACCGACGGATTCTACCACAGCTGGAAGTGCAACAACATCTACAGCGATTCCACCGACAGATTCCACAACATCTATAGACTCCACTACGATGGCAGATTCTACAACGTCCACAGCACTTCCAACTACCAGCAGCACCACAGAACTTGTAGAATCAACAACTGAATCCTCCCTTTGTATAACATTTCCCCATCTTCCGGTGTGCCAAGGAGCAAAAAGTGTTCCCTTGGAAAGTGGTAATGGATCGAGTATCGCTAAGTTGAAGCCGGATCGGCAGTTGTCCGTCATATCGGAGCCTCACTCTGTGACTTCGCTCTGTTTTTACTATCCTCGTCTGTGTCTAAAGCCCGAGCAGGCGCAGTTCGTGCGCTTGTCAGACGGGACTGGAAAGCCGCTTTTGCTAATATCACCAATCATCGATGAAAGACCAGCGACCCAGGATCATAGAACATTGTGGCGTGCTCTAAGAAAACACACCAGAGAATCAGCTTCTCGTCGATGACCAACTCTCACTCTAAATGTTGGCATTTTTAAATATAAATATAAATATAAATATAAATATAAATATAAATATAAATACAGTTAATTATCAAATGGCATTGTTTGCAGGTATACTAACTCCTAACTAGTTGGGCAATTGTGTTAGCTAGAGAGCTCTTGTGTTGCAGATGTCCCAAGGGCATCATCATCAGCATTATTGTTAGTTTGCAGAAGCCTCTATAAAAGCATTTCTTCCACTTGGCTATGGGTTCAGTGCGGTTCTAGGCATCGAAATGCGTGCTTTTCTTCTTCTTCTGGTTCTCAGTCCTCCAGTATGGAGCGTAAGTTCTGATAGAACTCTAAGATTGCAAGTTCCTCTCTGGGATGTATCTGATCTGTACTCCCGGCTTTCAAGCGCTTTCAATCCACCAAGCACCACGCAGATGCCGCTGGAGACTCCAGGGGCTCCTGCTTATTGGGATGATTATTACAATGAGATGCTCCTGAAATACCATAACAAGAAACAGGAGTACGGATTATATTCAGCGAGTGATCTGGTGCCAGTAGATCCAATACAACCTCTTCCTCCTCCACTGCCTCAGCGGCCCTTGCGACCACTAAGACCACTGAGACCCCTTCGTCCGAATCGACCGAGACCCAAACCAACTCGAAGACCTACTAGAAAAACCACAACTACCAGAAGGCCGAGACGAACGACCAGGCAATCTACAACCAGTACAACGAGTACAACAGTCACGTCAACATCAACCAATCAAGCACCCTGGAGTTCATCAAGTAGTGAAGTTTCATCAACGACCCAGTCATCCACCAGCACAACAATTGCTCCTGCAACAAACTCCACAACTCCAAGCTCTGTAATAACAAGTTCCACAACAACAGGGTCCACAGCAACAGGAACCTCGACAACGGGAATTGCAATTTCCAGCCGATATAAAGAACCAAGCACAGAATCACCGACTGCTCATTCACTCTGCACATTTTTTCCACATCTACCAGCCTGTAGCGCATCTTCGTCTACCCAGAGCTATGCCCTCCAAGCCCCGACAGTACTCAGTGTGGATGGGCAGGCGGCATTTGAAGTGGATCTCCGACCTGAACAGAAGTTAACAGTGCAGTCCCCGCCCCAGTCCATGACCTCGCTGTGTCACAACTACCCTCGCCTCTGTGCCCAGCCAGAGGAGGCGCAGTATGTCCGTCTAACCGATGGGAATGGGACGCCGATGCTCCTTATATTCCCAGGTCGGGAAACATTGCTTCCAGCGCTCAAGGAAGCCCCCCAACGGGTAATCGGAATACAACGACAGAGTTTGAGGCCCACCCGACGACCAGAGTGGCAGAGGAGGCCGCAAGAACGGAAATATGTTTACCGTGTGATTAAGAAAGCCAGGAATGCGAGATAATAGGTACATAAATTAACCCAAACAAATGGCAATTATGATCCATAAATGTATCTATCTAGGAATATCTGCAATGTTTGTAGCAATTAGTAAGGAAATTTGGAAATTTTCACATATTTTGGGAGTCATAAAACAGATAGAAGTGTGGATTGGAATGAGGCCATTGAAAATTAATTTAAAATTCCATCGATAAATGGGTTGTAAATGGATAAATGGCTGGTAGGCCATATTGTAGGCCGCATTATATCTAGGAGAAAGCTGCTGTAATTCTTTTGCTGGAACCATTTCCATATCCAAGCAGGAGAAGACATAAAATCAGACTTCAAAGAAAGGAATTTCCATAATTTCGAACTTGAAGACCTCCTCTAATGAATGAATTTGGTAATGTTAGTGTCGTAAATGAATATTTATACATAGGTCAGATATGGAACAGGTGTTCGTTATTTGCAGAGTTGGTACACTGATTAACTCATAACGGGTTCGATGATTGAGCGATTCTCTTTGTTTTCTTTTAGGCGATGGAATTTGCAAATTTTGAGACATTATAAGACTTTGTCTGTGGATATATAAAAAGGTACTAGTCGAAGTTCTGCATCAGTTTGGTCTCAAACGGTGTCCAGCATGCTGCTACTAGGGAACGCGTTTCTTTGGCTTATGTTTGCCGGATCCGATTGGTTTGCACTGCTGTCAAATGGAAAAGAGGTTCAAGTTCGACTACCCGTATGGAGTGTGGGAAACGTTGTCTCGCATTTTTCCAATTATGTGAATAAAAATAAAAAGAACGGGGAAAAGGACCGTACACCACCGTATCCGTATCCGTATCCGCCGCCGCATTACCATTATCCACCATATCCATATCCGTGGCCAAACCCGAAAACAACAACGCCACCACCTACTACAACAACGCCACCACCTACTACAAAAGCACCTACCACCTTTCCAACCACAACAGCGAGGGGAATAGATTATACCCTATGCGAAAAATTTCCGCATCTTCCGATCTGCCAAGAATTTAAATCTGCGCAACTGGAGGAAAATGATAATAGTATTCCAACAGTTCTGAGTGAAAGCGCCGAGCTCGGGACTAAGCAGCAACTGCAGCAGCTAACCATTACATCGGAGGCCCATTCCGTGTCCTCGCTCTGCTATCACTATGCCCAGCTGTGCAGGAAGCCGGAGGAGGCGCAGTTTGTGCGCCTCACCGATGAACAAGGCAAGCCCCTGCTGCTGATATACCCTGCGGAGGCAGAGTATCCGCTTGCCCTGGGCAAGTCCTTCAGTGTTATGTCGAAACCCACTCGAAGACCTTCTTGGCAGCGGAATTTGCCAGAATAAAGACCGTAAATAAAGCCGAATTTGACGAATAAATAATGTGAGCTAAGGTATATTTTCTGCTGTTGTTTTGGCCGAATTGGGAGCCATCGGAATGTCAAAAGTAATTCTCTTGGGATGCCGCAGATGCCAGCACAAATTGTGATCTATTCATCCAAACTGGTTTCAGTTGCCACACTCCATCTCCATCTCCATCTCCATGGCCGCGACTCTGGCTGATGGCACTCCCGACCCAGCCAGTCGCAGTCGAGCTCCATGAGCTGCTGGTAGGCGAAATTTAAATGTGCTCCGTCCAAATCGCTTTCCTGTGGCCACTGCTGCCATTCTTGTGGCTTGTGGCATTGTCCAGCTCTGCCATGACTACAACCCAAAAAGAAGCGCTGCAGCAGATACCGAAGCTGAATCTCACGCAAGTGCAGCTCATAGCCGGCAACGCCAGCCTCAGGTGCGGCCTTATTCCCGAGCTGTGCGACTGGCAACTACATCTGTACTCGGGCCACCCCTTTAGTGTTCCATTATCCTTCGGGGAGTCTACGGTCAGCACCCCCGCCACCATCACCACCACCACCACCACCACCCAATCGCCCAAAGATGTTGTTGTCGCATCCACGGAAGAGGTCTTTTCGCTGCCGTCCCTGCTGCTGGTGGCCCAAGTTGAACCTAAGCCGCGGCGGGAGAAGCGCAGGAAAAGAAAGCTCAGGCGACGACGAACTTTCTGCCTCTTAAGTAAAAAGCAATTTGTTTGGCTTTTCTTTCAATAGAAGAGTTCATAAATTCATAATAAATTTAGTATAAATACCCGAACCCGAACAACAAAGAGATATATTTAATCATCTCTCATTAAGGCCAATAAATCAGTGACCAGAGGTTTACCGAGTGAGTTACCGAGTGCCCAATGAAATCAATTCCGCAGCCATAAAATAAACAAAAATCCCAGCTCATTAATGTCGTTTCAATTCACGCTTTACCTGACGGGACAGGGACAGCACAGCGTGACCCGTTAAGCCCGATCTGGAAGCTGTTCGACCACTTTCAACTTGAACCTGCGCGGGGTCTGGGTCGGGGTCGGGGTCGGGGCCTTGGCCGTGGTCTAATGCCCATTAAGCTGTCTGTAAGAATTTTATTTGGCGTAAAGTAAGCCGTCACGGTTATCGCATTATCTACTTGCTTATTCAAATATTAATAGATGGCCTTTTAAATGGCAGCCATTTAATTAAGTCGTCATCTCTGTTGTCACATCTCAACGCCAATGAAATTTATATGAAAATTATTATGATTATGATGATTAACGACTCTACGAGTTATAATGTGTAAAAAGTACTCTGATACAGATGTACGAGTATGTGTGTGCGTGTTAATACTATTATTTGTCAGGGGTTTGTTTGGAGAGTCTTGCTACGGCTGCCTCTTTCTTAGTCGGCTTCTGTATTCCTTTGATCCTCTCTCCCCATTGGAGTTTCAATGAAAGTTTCATCAATCTTCATATTTGGTTTTATTGCAAATTGTTGTCGCCATTAAATTGTAATCAAATCCCATTACAGACTCAGTCGCAAGTTGATCAGTGCACAAAGTAAAACTAAAGTGTCTGCGGACGCCAGGGCGGAAATTCAATTCGACCTCCTGCAGGACGGACCCTCTATAAATACTAACCGCCCTGAAACCCATCGCGGCGGTATATTGCAGCGCCCGTGGCTCGTTCATCGTCGTCGTTGTCGGTGATAGTATCATAAATCGTATTCAAAAATGTTCTAATTTCCGCATATGGGAGTATCTGCCACCAATTTGTCGTAGTTTCAATTTCCTCCTGCATGACAGTGGTGGAGGGTCGCCGCTGGGAGCCCGGACGGCGCTTACCCTTGCCTTTGCCTTTGGCTTTTCCTTTGCCCTTGGTTCTCACTGGACGATGCGTGCTGATTTCCGGTGATTGTGTTTCCAATTCCTTCACTGGCGGCTGACGCTTGTCAACCGACAAGCTTGTACTTGGATGTGGCGGAGCTACAATCGGAGCTGGTGCAGGAGCAGCAGAAGCTGTACCAGGAGCAGGAGTGACAGCTGGGCTCGCTGTCATCTTTGTATCAATTTCATTAGGTGCTTTTGTTCTTGTTCTTGTTCCTGTTCCTGCCTTTGCTGGCTTTCGCCTGGCCTTCACTCGAGTGCGCTTAGCAACGGTCTCGTTTGTGCCGGAATGATAGACCAGCTCGCCGCCTGGATGACCCTTTGTGTGTTTATCATCGGCATTCCCCGCTGTCAGCTGGCTGACAATCTGCAGCATTCCTGTCAATGCCGTATCGATAATTGTCTCGCTAGCCGGCTCGGCCAGTGTTTCCTTCACACTTGTCAGGGACTCCCATGCCCCTGCAGGAGCTCTCGCATCCTTCGAGGCAGCCGTTGTTATCGAGCTGGAGGCAGTTGGTTTTTCCCCTTTGGTTATGTCGGACCCCACTGTACCACCATTGTGGTGCTGCTCCACTGGCTTCACTTCCTTCTCCTCTTCCTTCTCGGGCAGCTGTGGGAGTGCAAGTTCCACCTGCAATGGGTGTTCATCCTGTTCCTGTTCCTGTTCCTGGCCCATAACTTGTTCTCGGACTGGTTTACGTTCATGGCCGGCAGACAGGGTATTCAATTGAACAATTTTCTTGGCCCCTACACTCTGCACATGGAACTCGCTCGAATATAAATTTTCAGGTGCGTGGGCTTCGCTTAGAGTCGAATCCATTTGAACCGGCGTTAATTGCATGTTTACGGCCTGGGACTCTATTGTCTTGTGCTGTTCTTTATCCAGCTCCTCCTCGTGGGGATACAACTCTCCGGCATCATCGAGGTTTCTATAATGGGCGCTTTGGGCAGCGGATCTACGACTGTGCTGGGACAGTTGCTCCAGAAGCTGACCCATGGGCGGAGACAGACCCGATCGGGACTGATGGCCTGCCAGGTTCATTCTGGGCTTATTGTACGCATAGAGATCCACATTGAAAACCCCATGGGCTGGGGCACGACGCCAGTGTTTGGCAGGAGTTCCTAGAATGGACAGGAGTACATCCTTTTACTGATTTTCACTTGAAATGGGAATTGAAATGGGTGTGAGAGGTGGAGGGGCTGGAAGGCTTACCTCTGACCCTGAGGGCCAGTAACTGGATTAGCAACAGCAGAAGTGGCAGCCTCATGCTTGCAAATACATATTTTAGGCGTTGGCTCCGTCCACGACTAAACCGATTTTGGACCTCTCAACCATCTTTATGGCCATCCAATTTGGGTCAGTCCACAGCTAATTTGCATTGACAGTGTTCTGGGAATGTGAAAACACAGTGTGACCCGGTCCGGCTGAACATGCTTTGGCAGCACTGCAAATCATCATCGGTTATTACGGAGAGTTCACTGTCTCCCAGAACTCGTTTCCCACTATTCGATTTCGAGCAACGGAACTTTTGGTAGCTGGCAGCACAATCGCTATGTCTTTGGCCCTATTATTGCCGTGCCATAAAATATGATTGTATTACCACCTCAGCTGGGCTTGGCCAAGGCTCTGGGCCAATCTGGCTGCTTTCTGTTGTTATGTTGTGCCAAAAGCAGCGAAAGTTGAAAGTTGTGCTTAGCATCACAATGGCCTGCTAATGGAAAGTAATTGCCATCGAATTCCTACGAATTCAAAACAAAATCAAGCCTCGTTTTCTGCGATTATGCGTCAAATAGTTCTGACGGCGATGCAAGACAAGTTCTATAATGTGACATACCACATTGCTAAATCAGCTATTAAATGGATCTTCGTGATAAGCTTTCAATGTGATACATTGCCTGTGTGTATGGCAACAGATGAACTGTATGGCATTGTGTCACAGTAAGATATTTTGCGCCAGAGAAGAGTGACAATTTAATTCAAATAACCATTTTGGGAAATTGTTTATCTTTGAGAGCATGTCAGAAACAGTTGAGCAGGAGGCAAGAGGCAAGTGGCAAGAGTCAGCAAACAGGCAACAAGCAAACAATATTGGCCAAGAGAGAACAGAACAGAGCGACTGACAGCTTGCACTCGGAGCACTTAAGATAACTTCGTGGAAGGCCAGGCGCACGAGATGGAGCAGGAACCCTCAGCGGAGTGTGAGCTGACGATGTCGTCGTCCAGTGGCAGATTTATGAAAACTGTTGCCATTTAGTTCTTCGAACCGTAAACACGGAGCGAAGACAAGCCACAGGGCAACAGGGGATCGAAATTTCCATTCGGACAATGCAGGCGGTGGGTAGAAACGAAAAAGTATGTAAAAGAGATCGAAAGAGGGTTCGCAGAAAGGACATCAAACTGTGAAATGGGAAAAATGCAGATGACAGCCTTCGAAGTCGGACAAAGGCAGTGACTGTGGCAGTGGCATGCAAAGTATTTAAGAAGAAAACTGCACAAAAAGACGAAAGCATCAAGATGCATCCAGTATAAGCGGTATTGCAGGCAGTTCTTGTTCGCTCTTTCCACAAATGGAATTGCACTGAATTTAATATGTTTATGGATTAAAACAATAATGGATTCGATCCATTATTTGATAATGCTGAGGCTGTAATGTGCGTTATACTCGTATGCGATTATTTGGATTATAGAGCGGAGTTTGGGGCTGATGGGATGAGTACATAAGCTGATTGCGAAGCAGAAGCTTTTCCTGAAGGTGGAGCTGATGGCAGAGTTGAAGATGCAAATAAAAATATGGCCAGAGATGCAAATGAGACGTACAGATAGAGAGAACTGGACAGAAGCCGAGTAAAGCCAACTGTCGACAACGTCTTAATTAATCAGCAAAAAAACAGCAACAACAATTAACCATTGCTGATTGCTACTGTTGTATGCCAACGAATGAAAGCAGCTCCGGAAGGTGAACAAAAAACAAAAAGCAAGAGAGAGAGAGAGGGAAGGACTGCAAGAAGGATAGACTGCTGAAAAGTTAAGTTCCGGTTGAGATGCTTCCACTTGTGGTTGGGTGCAGGAAGCAGGGAGCAGGCAGCAGGGGAATACATCCCATGAT